GAGAGAGAGAGAGAGAGAGAGAGAGAGAGAGAGAGAGAGGAGGAGGAAAGAGAGGAATTTGGAGGAGTGCTGACTATGCGGAACAGAACGAGCAGCTGGCAGAAAAAGCAACAAAAAAAATAAAAGAACCATTACCAATCGAGAGAGGGAGATGGGAAGAGATGAGAGACACTTAGATGTGCTGGAGAAGGAGAAGAGGGAAAAAAGTAGGGGTAGGGAAGGTATAGGACAAAGTGAAGAGTGGTGGGGCAATGAAAGAGAGGAGCCAAAAACAGGTGGGGGAGGAGGAGGAGAAGCACAGAGAGGAAGACCTTGCAGTGGTTCAGGATAGCACCTGAATGTACGTGAAGGCATGTGTGTAGAAGGAGAGGGAGGGAGATGTCCTGCAGTACCAGCAAAACGCATGAAAACAGCAGAGTGATTAAAAGAGGGCGAGCAGAGGAAGGAAAACCAGTGTATGGATGTAAAACAGACACACAGCTGAGCTGAATGGCAAATGTGCCGCTCGGGTGGGGGGAGAGGAAGGCTTTGCAGGCAAGTGTGTAATGTATGTTTATGTATGCGCGCGTGTGTGTGCGAGGGAGAGAGGAGAGACAGCGCAAATTACGTATGTGTTTCTGGTGTGCAGCCATTTTTTTCCCACCAGCTACCTCATCAAAGGATGTAACCACAAGGCTTCACGCTGTTCCATCCATATCGCCTCCCTCCCTCCCTTCCTCGTCCCCCCTCGCTCTCTCCCCTCTCACGCACTCCCCAGTGCTGAGGAGACCCCAGCAGGAGAAACCGAAGCACTGCAGCATGGTAAAAAAGCACTGCGGTCACCTCCCCTTTTAGTGCGGTGTCACACCACGCTCTGTCCTCCCCCCACCTCCCCCTTTTCCACTGTCACTGCACCTCATGCTCTGACTCTCTTTCTGCCAGGAGAACAGAAGATGTGTGTAGGTGTTTGTGTCTGGATAGTGGCACGGGGTTGGGTAGAGTATGAATAGATATGAATAGCAGGAATTACATGAATGGATGCAAAGGAAGCAACAACAACAAAAAAAAGAAAAGAAAAAAGGGTGTGTATGCAGAGAAAACGGGGCTCTGAGCAGCTCTCAGACAGCTTAATCTAATGAAAAATATGATGTAAGCGGGCACCACACATCAAAAATAATAATAACAATGACAAAGCTCACTAGTGGCCAATTCCCAGAACATGAATTAAAGAGCCAATCAATTAAGGAGGCATAAAGGAAATGGCCAATCAACCGGAGGCATCTCCTCCACTCAGCAACACCAGTGTGTAGATCTCCCGGGGGCTGACCAATCCACAAATACCGCAGCACCAGCACCCCCAAGGGGGGTCTTGAGCCTTGTGCATATTGGTCAATCACCCCAGCCATAAGCATGCAGCAGCAGCTGCTCCCTTTCTTTTCAGGAAAGGAAACATATCCCTGGGAACGTTTGTTTTAATGATGTGGGGGGGATGGATGGGGGGGGGGGGAATTAATACATAAAGTCATTTTCAGGAATAGACTGGCTGCAATGAAGCCTGTAATAGAGCTCCGAAGCTCAGTCAGTCTCCATGACTAAAATCTTTTCTGCCTACAGGACGATGAGGGCTGACTTTTTTTTTCTTTTCTTTTTGGATAGATCTGGGTGATACAGCATGTAGGGTGAAGGAGGAGTGATGGAGGAGGAGGTGCTTCAAGGAGAGGTCATAACAATTCTGAAACAGCACTGAGCACAGGGGGGGTAAAGGCACAGGATAGTGTGTCATGTCGGGAATGAACTCTATTTTTGGACATGGATAAATCTGAGCGAACATCCTTCAGTATTCAAACTTTCTTGGAGCATTTGCATCAGAAGCAGATAGCTTCATCCCCCAAACCTCCCGTCTCTCTCTTAGGCAATTTAAACCTGTCTCCTCCTAATTAATGACACTGCCCTTCCTGCATGATTAGGACCATTATGATCCAGCAGTGCAGCGATGTGGTACATGAGGCCAGACAGACAAATGGGACGAGGGAAGAGGTATTACTGGACTAATTTCTGACCTGTGAACTATCCAGTGATTAGACATAAAAGCAGGGCAAGGTTAAGTCACAGATGGGAGTCTAAGCAGGTGGGGAGTAGGGCGAGAAGTTTTAAAGCAGAGCTATAAAAACAAGATGGCATGAGAAGAAATGACATGAAATTTGATCTTGAGGTGAACCTCAAGGTCAAGTGGTGGAAAGAAAGAGGGCGTAAAAGACCGGCTAGGCTCAATCAGGTGGTAAATCAGATGAAAGACGGGAGGAAACTTCATAACGGAAGACGGGAAGCAAGAGAAACCATCAGAGTCTCGGAGAAGAGACAGGGTCAGAGGCAGGGACACACACACACTAAACCCAGGACACGACAGATCAGTAATTCAATCACTGCCTCAAAATAGATTATCCCCCCACCCCCCCATTGCTTAAACAGCAGCGCCCTCCTTTTCAAGCCCCATCACTACTCTGCCAATCACATCAACCGACAGCATGCCACCGTCTCTGGAGTTTTTCCCCCCTTTTTTTCTCCTTTTTTCTTGTGCTAAAATCGAAGGGGGTGTTTTCTGGGTTACCCTTAATCTAAAAATAGCACCAGCTGTAGATTTATAATGCAGGATGCTGGGGGCAGAAGAAGAGAGTGCAAATGGAGGAAAAGATGTAGAGTTCCCATTAGGGGGAGAGCACGTTGGAGCCAGTTGGCAGGAAAAGGAATGCATGTGCTGGATAAGTGACGGCAGAAGAGGCATTATGAAACCAGAGACTTTGTGTGTAATGCAGCGGAAGGTGGCAGAAGCAGATTGTCAGAGTATAGGTGAAGTGGTGGCGTGGTGGGTTGTAGGGGGAAGAAGAAGAAGATGACCGTGTCTAGACATTTAACTGCCCTGCTAGACTTCCCAGATGAGACGCTATAACCTTCCAGTAGTTCCACTCCAGTAACCCCCACCCTTCATATCGTCCTCACAGCATCTTCTCCTCTGTGTGTTTGTGTGTCAGCCCTCTCACCCTACTCCTATAGTGCCTTTATCAAACCTCCATTTCAGGCCTTGACACTTACCCAGTGCTGCCACGATGCACAAGCAAACACACAAACACGCACACACTGAAAGCACATGCAGGTAGGACAAATGCATGCCTGTAAATGCGCAAAAGCAGCACACACATGGAGTTATTTACTCATGCAGACAGACAAAATGATGCAGATAGGAATGCATACACACACACACACATACACATAGATGCACACACACACACATTCCTCTCAGAAGCGTGAAACTGCTCTGATCTAGTGGTGTAGATGGGGAAACACCCACCATTTGTGCAATGAAGGATGTTAGGAATTATAAAATGGAACAATTCTGAGGCGTCATATCAGTGGGCAACACTAAATCAGACTGAATTTCTCTTATAGCAGCTAGAAGGAAAAGATAATAATTAAAAGAACAGAACATATTCTGATTTCTCCACGTACTGATTTTAAAACATGAAACAGGATACAGAAATATTTTGCAGATATTGTGGGAAAGACACGATACTTGTTGAATGCAGGTTAGAGGCTGTATTTTCGCCTTTTTTTAATCCAGGCCAATAAAAACCCTCTTGATATTAGGCGGATAAAACGCAGAATATAAAACCACCATAAAAATACAGACAGATACACAGACACGGTTAATACTCACTTGCTTTTGGTTCTGGTTCGATTCGAGTGCGCGCAGAAACACGCACATCAAGCTTTAAAAAGATCAATCAAAATGTAGTTTTCTTTGTTAGATCGCTCTTTCTTACGATTTCACAGAGTATCCAGTTTCTCGCAGACATTCAGCTGATCTGTTTTTTGGGGTTTGTTTGTTTTTTTTCTGTTTTTTGTGGAGGGTTTTTTCCTCCACGCGATTATAATAAATCAGAAATAGGATTGCGCGCGACTGTTGCTGGAAATCTTGTTTTGATAGCGTTATTGCCGAATGTTACTTAGAGCTTATGGTCATGCTGATGATGGCACGGGATGAGTCTTTCGGATGAAATGAAGCAGAAGTCCCCCTGAAAAACAAAAATCTGTCTTTTGGCTATTTCCCCTCGATTTCAGAGCCCCTTTCCCACCTTTGTTATTGCCAAAAACAAAAATAATTGCCAGCCTTTGTTACAGTGTCTCTACGCTTCCAGGCGCAGGGTGTAGCTACCATTCAGCTCTTCCTCTGTCTCCCCCATCCAAATGTTTCAGTGGAGATGCAGCCTGTAGACACCTCGCTCTCTTTGCCTTTCCCTCTCTTGTGCCTCTCTCTGTTCCTTTGGAGGAGCGTCACCTTCTGCACTATTTTTTTCCTCAGACGATACATGTGGGCGGATTAGAGAAGAAGACAGAGGGGTGGGAGGACCCCGGTGAATACAGAGGCTAATTTCTCATATGGCTGCTGAACTTTATAAATACATATGCTGAGGAGAGAGAGAGAGAAAAAAAATACACGCTGGGCTATAAAAAGAATAAATGCGCTGATTTATTTTCATTTGTTTAACTGCCTGTTTTTTCTCTCCCCCCGTTTCTCCCCCTTCACTTCCCCACTTTAGCCTGGAGCCCACACATGCTCACTCTGCTGGACGGACGCACAAACACCATTTTGTCTACAGGTTCGCAGCCTTGACTCTGCCTTGGCTGACATCACCAGTCATGTGGTACAAGCTGGTGGATTATGTCTGAAAACAGTAAAAATACAGAAAAATTGGCTTTTTTTCATCTCTGCTATCATACATTAAAAGAAAAAATCGGAAATTCTTGAAATAAGTGAAGCTGCATGGAGAATATTCCCTTTATAGCCTGTAATATTATACAAAGTGTCACAGGATTAACAACATGATTTTTAGGTGAATCTTGGGGCGAAAACTCTGCTTTCTACCTGCTGCTTTTACAAGAAGACTAATGGTATGTGGAGACGACTTCTAGCAAAAGTACAGAGATCAGCAGGATATCTTGATGGTGCACTTACTGGCAGGAAACTGTCAATGAGAGCTGCATCATCTCATGAAACTTACAAGGAAGAAAAGTCCTTTGACCACAAAATATTCCTGTAAGAGCAAAGTGCAGACAGAAAACCAGTGAGCTAAGGAGACAAAGGAAGGTGGGAGATATTTAAGGATATTTACTGATTTTTTTATGGAATCAAACACTGAAAACTGTAACATCTGAACTCTAATGTGATAGTTTATCCAGTGCATCCCATGCAGTCTGTGCAAGGAAAAGGGGCTTTATGCTGTAGGCAGGGCATCAAAATATAAATACAGTCAGCTATTCTGAACAGGAAGCCTGAGTCTTTATTTTCTTTTTCTTTCTCCACTAAGTTGAAAAATTAAAATGATTAACGCAGGAGCCATTTGTGTCTTGCAAAGCAGCTTTTAAGTCCTTTTTCAAGTAATTTTTCAAATTAAGTCACCTTTTACGAACCTTACAGATCTAAGCACAAAATCTAGAAGCTGCTTTTTCCTCCCTCAGGGAACACGCCTTCATTTATACCTCCAAGAGCCCTGCGGCATTGTCTCAGATCAGTCAAACGTATGATTTATAGAGGTGTCAAACTCCTCTACACCACAGTTTTTTTTTATCATATAACCATCTAAAGCACTTGGTGTATTGGCAGTACTATGAGTCTTTGGCCAAGACAGCAGCAGCTTTATTGGGCTTTACTGGACAAAAGCCAAAATTTGCATGTAATGCTCTCAGTAATGAAGCTGGTGTTTAGCACAAATTATCTACCAAATTCATCATTTTAGCATTTAGCCTGAGGATTGTTATTCCATCTGCAGTCATTTCAGTTTGGTGGCACAGCTCTGCTTTGGGACTTCCCCACCCTTGCATAACTGTGCATGGACAGCCTGAGGCAGGGAGAGAAGCGACATGAGGGGCGTTTCCAGGATTTAAAAAAAAATGGGATGGCAAAGGGAGGATCCAACAAGAAATCAGAGAATTCTACGAGAAATAAACAATAAACTAAATGTGTTTAATTGTACTGAGTGGTAGAAGTACATAAGAACTATAAGCACAGATCCTTTGTTTACAGTTTGCAAAGGAAAGCAGTCAGAGTGCAGTAGGAACACAAAGGACCGCTGTTAGGTACACTTGGGAGAGCCTATCTTTTAGACCCTATGAATTTATAGCTATAATTAAAACAGTAGCTTTCACAGCCCGCATTATTTAGCCTTAGATAAGTATAAATTCACAGTGATACACTGAGGAGGATAAAACTGCTCATGAAACTAAAGAAAAGTCTTAAGTGATTAAAGTCAGTGTCAAAGAGTTATACACACTATTTCTAATGCCTGGATATAGTGTTAGACAATATGTAGGTATTAAATAAAAGCTTGACAAGTCATATAATTCACAAGAGATTTTACTGCAAATTCTGAAAAAATCTGTGCTAATGAAAAGGCCTCAGTGGCAGATTTTGAACTGACTACAGTGCAATCAATTGTCTGAAATAATCTGTCCAGACTGAAATAATCCAGTCTGGACCAAACTGGAGGAGCAATCAACCATCAGACTCTTCTTCTTCTTTTGGCTGCTCTCTTTAGGGTTCGCCACAGTGGCTCACCTGCCTCCATCTACCACTATTCTGTCCTAGCGTCCTCCTCTGTCACATCAACACTCTGCATGTCCTTCTTCACTGCATTCCCAAACCTCCCCTGTGGTCTTCCTCTTTTCCTCCTGCTTGGCAGCTCCGTCTTCAACATCCTTCTTCAACTACACCCACCATCCCTCCTCTGCATGTGTCCAAACCATCTCAACCTTGCTTCTCTAGCGTTGTCTCCAACATGCTCAACCCAAGCTGCCCCTCTGATGTACTCATTTCTAATTTTGCCTATTCTGGTCACTCCCAGTGATCATCGTAACATCTTCAACCACTGCCACTGGTTGGTCTGCTGTCTTTTTGTCAGTGCCATACGTCACAGCAGGTCAGACTGCCATTTTATAAACCTCGACTTTTACTCTTGCTGCTGCTCTTTTGTCACAAATCACCCCTGACACTCGTCTCCACCAGCTCCACTCTGCCCACACTCTCTTCTTCACCTTTCTTGTGCATTGTCCATTGTTTTGGATAGTGGACCATTTGTAGTCCTTGCACCTTCACAGCCACATCTGTCTACACATGTTCTGTTTTGCTTCTACTGATTTTCATTCCTATTCTCTCCATTGCATACCTCTAGCTCTCCAGACTCTCAGTATAGATTACAGCATCATCTGCACGTCCACTAAGAGTCTTGCCTGACCCCATCTCTCAGCCTGTCAGTCAACCCTTATGTAAACCCACCCCCACCTTGAACCAATATGCCACATCTGCCACACACCTCACCACTGTGTGGCTGTCCCCATAAATGTAACCAACCAAAATACTAGCATGGCCCAAAGTCAAAGAGCTGCTAAGCTAAAACCTAATGTACCAGCTATGTCCAACAACAACAAGACTATCAATCACTGCTCATCAAGGCACCATTTTCTGCTTTCAGTTCAAAGTGAAGCCTCGCTTTGTGGCCAGAACAGACGAGCAGGAAGTCAGCCACAGAGAGTAGCTGACACTGTTTCTTCATCAACCTGCATAAATACTGAATGCTCAACTTTGTCCATACTAAGAGTGAGCATTAGTCATCACAGACACTCGCAGTCAATCTCTGGGCGGCAGCATACCACAGCTCATGCATAAGGAAGCAGGTAGCAGACCTGAGCATACATCGTGTGGACGAGACAAGATTTCCTGCATTGAGAAAGAAGCTGTGAAAATGCCCTCAATCTCATAGGTTCAACACAGTTTCTAGTAATCTATTTAGGAGTTATTGTTCCTACTGCAGAGGTGGATGTTGAGACCTTTACGTAGTTAAAAAATGAAAGAGGTCAGGACTAAACAGCCTATACAAAAATAAAACCTCCCGAAGCGATCTTAAGGCGTTTGATGCATTTTATGTTCGGTGGAAGGTGTACGAGGATATACAATTGCTTGTGGTAAGGGAACGAGACAGAACACACAAATCAAACAGAGCAGAGCTGCTGTTTGTATGCTGTGTGGGACCAAGCACCAGATGTCAACAACAGCCGCAGCAAAGTGCAGTAATTGGGAAGACTATAAGAAGCCTTTTAAAGAGTTATTAACTAGTGGCGTGTGAGCAACAGCAGTAATGCCTCCAGTCTCATGATGTGATTTATGAAATGAGTCAAAGCAGTCTTATTGTCATGGTGTTTCCTACACTGCTGTTAATATCGCCTCGAGCTGACTTGTTTCTATTGTTTATTGGGCAGTGTGTAATTATCTGCTTCATTCAAGGTTTTTTAAGGGAAAAAAAGAACTATTGTACTACTGTAGCTTTAAACAGTGTACACTCAGACACATGCAATACATGTGATTAGAGGTGGTTTGCTTTTCTGGACATAAATCTTGACCTTTCTTTATAATAATGTTTTGGACCTGGTTGCTCAGAGGTGAAAAGTGCAATTGGGGATGCCCAGCACATCAGTGTTTTGTAGTAAACAGAAACACAATCTGTTGCATTTCTTTAACTTAAAATAAAGAAAAAGTATCTTGGTGTGGTTGTCTTTATTTCCTGTGTGTTTGTGATAACTTGTCTAGACTGGTGGCACTTTTGAATGTATCATTTATGCAAACTCTTCAATTGAAAAGGTGGAAAATCTGGAATCACATCACTGAATAGACAGTCCTCGCTTCTGTTAGCTATTATCTTGTCCTCAGAAGTTAATAGAAGCTATGTAACAGCCACCCCAGGAGAGAAATATTGATTAAAAGATAGGATAGTGCTAAACTTTATCAACACACCTTCAACAGTTACATTAAATCCAATGCAACTTGACGCCTCCCATAAAACCTGAGTAAAAGCGTACAGAGAGCGCTGCTTTTCATTTTTAAGGCTTTAGTATTTAGATAGTTGAAGCCCGGACATCCAGTAATGGATTTCTTCCTTTAAATTCAGCTGTTTGTTTGCTGTAGTATATACTGACATGTGACCACCGGGCAAGGCATGGTTACATAGTTTGAACTGTCAGCATATGGAAACTGCTGTTTATTACATTACAACCAAAAAATATTTATATGCAGAAAACAAAAGTCATGCTACCATCTTGTGTCAACATATTAGGGCACACCAGCATCTGCTGTGCTACCTGAAGCCTTCACACTACCTGTCAGAAACCCACAGAGAACCTAATTTATAGCCCGGAGGCTGCAGACCGAGGGCGCGTGATTTCAATAAAGTACAGCGTAGAGCGCATCAGCTCCCGGGCTGCAAATCATGCTGACACACTGCTGGCAGGCAGGGGATTTCTTACTTTATCACCATGACATAGTAAAAAGAAAAATCAAAATAAGGCCTGCATGGGATTACGTAAGGAAATACTGGATTTGAGTAATAAATGATTTAAGCTGCACATTTGGTTGCACTCACAGCAAACAGTAACGTTTGTCCTCTTTAATGGCTTTTCTGATGTTTGTCAGAGAAATGGGAAATGAAGTCTCAGTAATCATGAACTAAATGTGAGGCAGCAATTCATGTCTTGACATCAGCTTGCATTAAATGTATTAAGTTTTTTAAAAAGAACTGAACCTCCTGTGGTTGTATTAGACTGTGACGACAAAAAAATATACATAGCAGAATTAAACGAATTACATCTTTTGTTTTATTTATACTTTAAAAACAGACATTTTTACAATCTTTGTATATAAAGACTTTGTTCTAATCCCTGCATGAGTCAGTCTGGCACACTGAGGAACAAAACTTCTTGATTTGCAACTCGATAAAGTCTTTCACAGCCTGCAACGATCTCCCCGAGCGACTTAGGCGGATGAAACCGGTCACTATCTGCGAAAGCATTTAACACGCTTTTTGTTGCTCCAGATCTCACAAAAGCTCAGGAAAGTCACGCTTTTATACAATCACAGGGTCAACATCCCTCACATTAAAATAAACAAAAATACACAGTTGTTTTTTCTTCTTAAAAGAATCCTTTGATCACTTCAGTCAGCTCTGCTCTGATCAGGAGATCATCTGTCCTCTTCTTGTTTTGAACTTATAATCCTTAGTGATTCTTGTCTTTGGGAACCTTGGCCTTTCTCTCGCTCCTCTTGTCCAAGAATTTGTTTTTCCTACTCACTTTAATCTCTGCCTCCCACTGCTTTTTCACCATTGTGTACAGCCTCATGGTGGCCTGTGCGTCTTGGACCTGGAGAAAGCAACAGGCAAAGATCAGCCTAAGTGTTACTAACATTGTTGGGCAATAACACACTGGTTGTTTCTACATGCTGCAATACTGCTGGGTCAGTGATTTTAGTCCACTGTTGGATGATGACATCATGAGATTAACAATAAAGTTTTCTAGATATAGAATAAATGTTAATGTCATGAATATAAAGTGACACGATGCTTTTGTAAGATGCTACAAGTGCTAAAATGCTGCAAATTGACCATTTGGGTAAGTGGTTGCTAACGAGAATATTACTATTATATACACTATCTTCAGGCCTAGAGGGGTCAAAGATATACCCGTGTGCCAATTTTCGGTCACTCAACCCTGATGATTTAAAAGGAGTTTATCGAATGACTTACAGATGAATGTTCGCCCTCTTGGACCTTCACATCGAGGATGTTTCTACAAAGGAGTTTGAGCGAGGGTCGACCGCTCTAAAACAAAAGAAAAATGCCTCATTATCAGTTATAATTCATTCACACATTCACTGCGGAAACTGTTGAGACATTGGTGACTGCATCATACCTTTACGATCGTCTTAAAGGGTTTATATTTCTGAGTATCTCTGATTTTCTTTTTCGGATGATCCAAGAGCAGAATCTGAAACGGCAGATAGTTTGTGGCTGCTCATAATCAGACTAAAAAACAATATTGCATTTGTTCCATTTCAGATATCACATCCATGCTACCTTTAGATCATTGTGTATGGCGTGTCCAACCACTACTCTCCCTTCCAGGATGTTAGCAACCTCCCTCTGTACAATCTGTACATCCGCTCCTGCAGAGAGACAAACGTGGTTTAAAAAAACCATCAGAAACAAAACATAAGGAACAAAGAGACTTTAAGTTGTTCTTTGCAACTCATTTCATTTCTCTCACCATCTTTGATGTCCTCTGGTCGGATGCCGCTGACAGCTGTCCTGTAGTCTGTTACCTTCTCTGTGGGCTTCACATATTTGTCATAGATGCACTTCCCAAACTGGTTCACAATTGACACACGTGCCAAGATGCTGTCCTCTCCGTCAGGACCAACTCCCACCATCTCACAGTCAATGGCCACCGCCTTAGTGAGGCTTAAGGTGAATGACAAAGTGACAAGAAAGGAGAGACATTACAATCATCATCTTCTGTGTCAATGTAAACCCCTCAACGTACACCGAACGCAGTGGTCGCTTCGCTCGCTGACATGATTTTACACTTGCATCTTTAACCCTTGCTCGACACTTCAGGCTACAAAAATTGAGAGGTGCATCCATCAGGAGTCACAGGTTTTTCCACAGCATTTATCTGTATTATCAGTGACTTTCTACAGCAATGTAGTGAACTCTGAAGCGGTATTGACAGGTTGTGTCACCACAAAGGACAGTGAAGGATTTGAATTGTATGAATTCCATTCAATAATTTATCCATCCTGCAGAAAACATTCAGCAGCCATGTTTACTTCGTACTCTGTCAGGTCAATTCACTAAAACATGCAATGACAAAAGTATTTATCACAGACTATATGTAATATTTGACTCCTTGAAAGAAAGCTCCATGAAGCTCTCCACTGAGGGGGGAAAAATAGTCTCCATCTCCTTTGGGTCATTCCATCTCATCAATTTCATCAAATTAAAAAAATAAAAACCTCATCATCACATCTAACAAAAAAAAAAAAAATTCCTGTGGAACGATACACTGTTCATTAGAAATGCCAGGTTTCTGCTGTCATTAGATCTTTCAGAATATATGGTGGGGGGAGTGTGTTTGACATTTTTCAGGGGTTCTGTGAATATGGGCTGTCAGGAGTGTCGCTCAACTTCATACAGAACGAGTCCCTGAAATAATTGGATATCTGATCTTTGACAGTAGATCCAGAGAACTGGAGAAGGTAGGGGAGGGGGTTGATAATTTACTTTGAGCTTCTTATACACGAGGCACATAATGTTGTTGACCCAGTTGAGCGGTTTCAGAGATATTAAAGTCTGAATTTTGGGAAAAACACATTTTGTGTGACATTCCCCAAGTATGACATTATGTGCCAAATTCACATTGTTAATATTACATCCACAGCTAATCACAGCCAGCTAATCCCACCCCAGCAGCAACATTCCTCTGAAATACTTGTATTGAGATAAGTAATGACATTAGAGACTTGATATTTTTTATGATCGCTGTTAAGGCATTCATTTTTCCCCGGGAATATTTTCAGGCACTTTTCTAAAATGGCATCAAAGCTGCCCGCTGTATTCTGAGTGTGTTTCCCACTGTACACTGAATGCACAGCGACTTACCCTTCAAAAGCATTCTCCTTAACCAGGCTCTTCTCTGTGTCATTAGCCGAGGCACCATCCGTACCCTTGGCCTTGCCCTGCTTCTTCCTCATGATCTCGGCTGCTTCTGCTCCCATTGTCGCCTCAATGTCATCCGGGTCCACGTCATCAAACCAAAGGTCCTCTCTGCAACAGCAGAGAATGAGATGGGATTATCAGACATATTTATTCTTGCTGAATAAATGAGTCAACGTCAGTGCTAATATATACATACTCTGTTGGCTTCGTCTCCTCGGATTCAAGCTTCTTCTTCTTAGCTGCCTGTAGGCTGTTTGGCTTCCCGCTATCCCGCTCTCTTTTTGGAGCAATAGCATGTTTAGTCTTCGAGACATCCGACACCTTTGAGTTGACCCCAGTCTTACCGGAGACAAAACTCTTAGGAACAGTTTTGTGATCTGATTTTTTCTCAGTGTCTCTCTGGCTTGGTGCAGCATTGTTCTTAGAAATTATTTTAGAAGTATTTTCTTGGACATTCTTTGGCGAGAAGCCGTTCTGATGTCTTGGTGCCGCCGGCTGCTTCTTCTCTGACTGACTGGCCTTCAACACCTGAAGGGAGTAAAATAGGAGAGAAAAACCTGTGGGTAGTATTAAACACAGGCACACAAAAACCAAAGTGTGTGACAGGACATGCATGGAGCTCAAACTATTGCACTCACTAACCTCTTGAAGTGCTTTCCAGTTGGCAGAGAACTGCTGGGAGTCTTTTGGAGGAGCAGTTTGTGGAGCTGTAGGCTTTTCCTGCTCCTTGTTTGCAGGAGCTGAGTAAAACCAATGCCTCTCGTTCTTTTTTAATATGCCGTTTTTCTTATTAGTTTTCCGCTTAGATGCTTGAGCGGGAAAGTGTTTTTTCTGTTTCTCCACCTTAGACATGATCACCTATCTCATGTATCCTCACCTCCTTATATTTTTCTTGGTGAGGTGTGTGGAGCCACGCTGGCTTGTCAGATGTCCGTTACTTGAGTTGCCAAACAACTTCAGACAGTAAGAAATGTCTCCCCCAGACTAAGCTCACCTTTCGTCCAGCACACGAGCAAAACTGAAGCACGTCCCTGAACTGTACATAAAATCGCTTACTCGTAAAACTTCACTCACTCTGAAGCCATGCCGTAGAGTGTTTTCCCACGATGTGCAACAGTGAAATGTGTCCGTCACAAACATGACGTCGTGCTGTAGCGCAAGTGCGTCACGTCAGTAAGATATGAAAAAAAATCTCCGACCGTGCTTTTGTTTTACAGTTATATACATGTGAAATTTTATATAATTAACGTAAAAAGTCATGTATTGACTCTTGTTTTGTGGGCGATTCAAAGGCGGAACTAATGTTTTAGAAAGGGTTTCGCATCGTTCTGAAGAAAAATGACGGACCGTGGCGGAAGGCTTCATGGCACTAATGTAAAAAAACACAGTGGGTTTTGATAGACGTATTAAACCCATGTTGTATTACTCTGGATAATCATCAGGCATATAATTAACGTGGTAATTAATGTTAAGCATCTGAGTAAAGTTAGCGTTTAAAGGAGCAAAGAAAAAACGTATTTCCAGGTATGTAACTTCTTTTTGGGGCCTGAATGTATTATTGCTGTCTCGTTGCTCTCCCACACGTTTCTGTCTGTGTTTTGGTTGTAGATCATGTTGGAAAACTCGCCATCTCCTCTGCCTGAGAGGGCCATTTATGGGTTTGTTCTCTTTCTCGGATCACAGTTTGGCTTCTGTAAGTGAAATATCGCGTCCTCCAATCCAAAACACAAAAAGGTGTTCAAGCAATGCATGTCTGTAATACTCACTGCGTCTCTCCACAGTTCTGTATTGCTTATGGGCTTTCGTGCCAGAGGATTGGCTTAATTCAATAGGGCTCACTTACTGGCCTCAAAAGTAAGTAGAACTGCTCTGAAATAAATGGATCACTGGGGAAGCACCTGCACAGTTTCATGACAGTGTCAAATGTGTGTTCTGTGTAGGTACTGGGCTCTTGCGATGCCAATCTACCTGCTGGTCGCAATAACAGTCTGTTTCATTCTGTTATTTGGTGTGAACATGAGCAACACGGCACCGCTGGACTCTGTGAACAACATCACAGGTGAGGATGCTGCACTGTTCAGACTCTGACTGCCTGATTAGGTTAACTAACATTTAGAGTGAGAAGATGAAGGAATCTAAAATTGTACTGCGTGAATATATACGTGTAAACAAGCTGAAAATAAAATGCACTTCAGTATATTACACTGATTGGCCATTTTATTAGGTGCTTTCTTATAACAAGTGGTTATCTGAGTTACTGTTGCCTTCCTGTCAGCTTGAAGCAATCTGGCCATTCTCCTCCTGTTGTGTGGGGAAAATCCCAGTAGATTACCAGCTTCTGAAATATTCGGACCAACCTGTCTGCCACCAACAACCATGCCCCATTTTCAGAATTTCCTGATTGTTAAATGTCCTTTTTCTGTCACAGATGTGTATGCACAAGGCCAGAGCACCGAGTCCTGCCGTAACGGAGGAATACCCCGATTGAAGGATGTGTCGATTAGTGAAGTCAACAAAATGTTCTATTTATCACCCAGTATGTAACAAGCACAGTCTGATACTGCTGTGGACAGAGCAGAAGTAAAGCTGCAGGGGTTTTATTTTGGTGTTACTGTTTGTCTTTTTTTATGAAATGTTTTGTGCCTTATTTATAAGAAGATATATTCTGTTGACTTTTTTGTTGTTTAAGCGTCTTTATAATGGTTAAATGTGAATACACTGGTCACAATAAGATGCATATTGAATGAAAACAAAAGTAAATGGCTGTACTGTCTATGTTAAAATACAGAATGTTTATATTTATTATTCTGTGCAATAAACATATCCTAAATAATCATATTTTTTATGTTAATTATTTTATTTTTAAGTCCACTGCTAGAAGAAATGAACATCTTGTTTTGTTCTTGTACTTTAATGCCTGTCAGAAATGTGTGTCTAAATTAAAAGTGGCTCCAGATAATTATTTATGCCCAATCTGCATCTGAATCATTACTAAAGCTGCAAATGAACATCTGCACTTGATTATCCCAGAGAATAAGAGGCAGTTTTTAGCATTTTATCCCACAATAAATTTTTGGTTTTTGGTCACCAGCCATTTTATTAGGTACACCTGTTTAGCTGTATGTTAACACAACTTGTTTACACATTATGAGCTGCAGTCTTTTTCAAATATTTTTTTATTGCTGTCCACTAGGTGGCGATAACGGATCGCTTTAGCGTAAACGTTAAACAAACACCAGGCAACCAGGAGATTTGTTGTTGCGCTTTAATCAACGTGCATAACCGGAATAAGATTACGAAATTGGGCGAGTGTCCGCATAATCCTGCAATAATGTAACAACACAGAGAGCGCTGTCGATACAGGGACACAAGTGAACAGCAGAGGGCAGCAGCACGCCGCCCAGCGTCCAGTCTGCCAAGCCAAAGGAGAAGAAGACGTTGTTTGGGAACGATTTCGGGCACTCCGTGGGGGATCTTTGCTTGTTTAAATACTTCGGAGTAAAGACTAATGGCTTTCGCCGTGCCTGTGTGGCTTGCGGTCCAGGAGGAGCTCCTGGCACAAAACGAGGCAGAATGCGGAGCTTCGAGCTGTTTTGACACTTTCGACGATGAAGCTCTTTTTCAGTTGTTCCACCTGAGCAGACCCTGCATCCTGTTCATCGCAGACGCCGTCCGCATCCGCATGAAGGACGCCGCCCCCAAGAAATCTCAGCTGCTCGTGGACGAGATGGTCATGGTGGCGCTCAATTATTACGCACATGGGGTCTCCACCACTGCCGTGCTGCAGAAAGCCGGACTGAGGCAGACGGACTGCCCCACGACTGTGGTCGGTACAATCTCGGGAGTCATAGCAGGGATGTCCGATGTATTCATCTCTTTCCCGCTAACCCTGGACGCCAGAACTAATGTCGCCTTAAAGATAGAGCAATTCTGTGAAATCCCAAACGTGCTGGGCGTCTTGGCTCCTGCGCACTTCAAGATCAGAGCATCTCCATATGAAAAGGACGCTTTCAGGTCTTTTATCAATGCCCTTGGTTACACATCGGTTGTAAGCCAGATCATATGCGACTGCGACGGCAACATACTGAGTGTTGAAAAGTGCTGTGTTGGTGGCACGTTTGAGCAAGAGATGTGGGACTCCTCCTTTAAAGGAAGGGAAATGCAAGAGGACCTGCTCAGCCCGTTCTGGTTGATTGGTAAGAGCAGTGATTACCTCTTGTGCAAATGTTTATTTAGAAATGTAAACTGGAGTGAAAGCACAGTGAGGTATCAAGTCAAGCATAAAAACCTACAAAACTATCATCTGTTTGCGTCTGACGATGACTGGTTGCCTAGCAACAAGAAGACGCCCAGGAAGACCCCACCCCATCATCTAAACTACCTGAAATTCTGCACTTCCCCTACTTGGGTCACCCAGCAATAACCCTTCCAGAAAGGTGTAAAGATCCCTTGATTAAGTAAAGGTGTATGAGGGATGCAAAGATACAGATATAAGTTAAGGCAATGAATGCAAGGCAGTTATTCCCAGAAAGAACAAACCTGCTCTTTAGTGTTTCTATTCCCTGAAAAAGGCTAAATTGACAGTTGGCAAAAGTATTAAATTCTTGGCAAACAGTTGATTTCGCTGGAATATTTCATTCTATTTACATAAAACACAAATAAAATAGTGTTTTAACTTCTTACACATAAACTTACTGGGCATGTTATTAATGCATTATTACGTTATTATTCATGACCTAGATTCAACAGGGTGCTGGAAAATTTCGTCAGAGATTTTGGTCAAGGTTTCTTGATTCATATCAGATTGCTGCAGATTTGTCTGCTGCACATCCATAACGGGAATCTCCCTGATCACCACATCCCATTCTTCTGTCGTCCAGTTTCGATGAGCCAGTGCAAACTGTGGCCTCAGTTTCCTGTTTTTAGCTGATGGCTGTCGCACCCATTGTGGTCTTCTGCTGTAGTAGCCCATTGGCTTCAGGTGTTTTCACAGATGACCTTCTGCATACCTCAATCGTGGTTACTTTTGCCTTCCTATCAGATCAAAGCAGTCTGGCCATTTTCTCTGACCTCTAACATTATAAGCTGTTTTCTGACAGGGAACTGCTGCTCACTGGATATTTTCTTTTTCCTACCATTATATGTAAACTCCAGCGCTTGTGTGAGGAAATCCCAGCAGACAGTTGTGAAATACTTAGACCAGCATATCTAGCATTAACATCTCACGTTCAAAGTTCTTTCTTCCCCACTGTGATTCTCACTTTGAGTTGTGGAGGCCATTTCAGTACAGGGAGCTCATTTTCATGCTCAAGAAACCAGTTTTACATGAATTGAGCTTTGTGACATGGCGACTATCTTGTCTAAAGGAGTCACTAGAAGATGGGTACACTGTGGTCATAAAGGGAGAACATAGTCAGCATCAATATTTAGATCTGGGCTCTGGCATTTAGAAGATTCTCAGTTTGTAATCAGGGATCAAAGTATTCCGAGAATGGCTCTCAATAGAGTGGCACCTGTGTGGTCCACATTGTTCAGAGATGCTCTCCTGCTCTGATATTCACTGCATTTTCTTTTGTTTCATTTGAAGGTGGGAAAGGCTACCACTTAAGCAAGCACGTCTTGACTCCTGTATCACTGCCCGCGAACAACAACGAGATCCGCTTCAACGAGGCCCACGCAAAGATCCTCGATGTCATGCAGACGACACTGGATTCCATGAAAAGGCGTTTCAAGTGTCTGATGCAACTTGGTTTTGCACAAGAAGGCTCACTTAACAAACAGTCTAACATTATCAAAGCATGCAGTGTGCTGCACAACATCGCTAAAAAGTTCTCTGTCCCTCCCCCGCCTGACGCTGGTAAAGCTGAGCCGCTATATCCTGGCAAGCAGCAGTCAGGGCCAGTAGAGATCAAACAGGAGGCCCTCAAAGCCAGACAGGAAGTTATTGATAGTAAATTCTCTGCTGTGTCCAGCAGTCAGGACCCCTCAGGTAGCAACGTCACAGAAGAAGATGCATAAAGGGTTGTTTCTGGTCTATGAAAGAGGATCAATGACACACTGACACCAAAACTCAGCTTTTATATTTCTGTGAATGTGAAATATTATATTTCTTGTAATTATTCCTTTGTTTTGTACTTATTTTATTAAATTCATTTTTTAAACATTTTCAAGTCATCGGAGTGCTATTTTCTCACATAAAAACAATGACAACAAAAATAATAATATTACATATTTAGAAGAGATGCAAACTGAGTAAGATCTGAAGTGTGCAATGCATTTACAGAAATAGTTAAGATGTAATAGTTTGTATTATTGCGTTTAAAACCAACATATTGCTTATAGACAAATAGTTTTTCATTAAGTGCATAAAAGATTGAGTGCAGGGTTGACACTACGCATTTGCGTTTTGCCGACGTAGCTCTTGGAGGGCAGTGGCATTGACGTATATCATATCTGCATTCTCGTACGTGTTCTCATAAATGTTCTCTTCATTCGTGTCTTTTGGTTGCAGACTGTCCATGATGCACTGGTGCAGAAAAACGTACTGAGACTGAAAAGGAAATACCAGAAGTTGTTGGTCATTTGAAATGCAGAACTTCTGCCAGGGGAGATTATGATAGTTTCTTGCAGGCAACATTGCTAAACAGTTTCACAATAAAGCATTTCTTTTTTTTTCTCAAACAAAAAGATCCAATAAAGCTTTGTTTTATGAAAACAAATTTTCAGCTCACTTACTTAAAAAGATGTAGACATAGACCCTTAGAGAGAAATGCTGGCTCTAATGTCACGAACAGGACTATAATAACATTTCAATCAAGTGTTTTGCTGTCTAAATTACTACTTAACAAGTGCAATTAACAAACTGGGCATTAAATATATTTTAAGCAGGCATCTGTTGGTAATACCTACAAAGTCTGCCTTGTTCTGAAAAGTTGAACAATAGAAAAAATTCCTTTTCAAACTCATATTTTAAGATGAAATGATCAAAAATGATGACCCCAATTTAAAAAACAAACAAACAAAAAAACAACTGCATATCTTATGATGAATAAAGTGCTGTCTGTGTGTTGTTTCACCAGCTGTGACTATAAAGAAATACACGGTTAGCTAATTAAGGAAGTAGTGGCTCAATCAGAAGCAGTTTAACACAGTTACCTCCGTCTGCACCATGTATGGTCGGCTCAGTCTCATCTTGTGTACGAAGGCATTGATGCCGACTGCTTGTTCTTTCTCCAGCTGCTGAAGCAGCACATCCAGGGAAATGATAGTGCCAGTTCTCCCGACTCCAGCACTAAGAGAGACACAAGTGTAATAATAATATAGCAAAATGTTTTTAAGGTCACATAGAAAGCTCTCATCACTGTGTCTGTGCCAAAGTTATTGTAGTTAACAAAAACTAAACTAGAACCTACAAGTAGATGTGAAAACTGTGAAAATGCAGAATTGGACTTTTGAAAAAAGTGAAAAACTATAATGTGCAATACTGTTCCTCCCTATTGAGGAAATGTCTTTGGTCAAAGTTGTCATCACAGTGAGGCTTTGATGCATGTGTTTGCAATTTTTAGTGTAATATCTGTTCAAAACTTTTAAAAATATACCCCTGACAAATACCCTCAATGTTCTAATCATAAAAAACCCACAGAAACTAATTAAAGCTTCAATAAAACGGAACATTTCCAAACAGTAAAAACCAAAGTGAAACTAGTTAATGCAAAATGAAACTAAAGTGAGCTGAAAACAAGACATAACAACAGAAAGAAAAACAGATTAGAAAACACAAAACCTGAACAAACTGTTCTGTCACAACAGACACACTAGCTGGGTGGATATTGTATAAAAGCAACCCTGCACCCATGTAAAAGGAAACACTTATTTCGTACCTGCAGTGAACCACAGTTGGTGCTTTGCCCCCTTCTCTCTCTATGTGCTGTCTCATCAGTCCTCTGAACTGGATCAGGACCTCTGTGCACTCTGGGACTCCATGATCAGGCCAGGCAGTAAAGTGGAAATGTTTAACTGTCCGTTCTTCTGAGGTTTTTCTCTGTGAAGAGAAAATATCCATATACAGTTACTTTATGTCTATGTCTTGATACACAGCAATTATCAATCAACCATTATTCTTTTAAAAGCAACATTAACAGTTAAAGCCTTCAATGTTTTATATTCATGTTTTCTAGCCTTCCTTAGTACCATCTACACACACACTCAGAAGACATAAGTAAGTTTTTATACATCTTTCAGGTTGAATTCTCTCAGCGTCCAGTTGGTCTCCTGTTGCTCAGATCTCATGGTGACCAACAGCTCTCCATAAAGGCATGACTTGCTGTCTGCAGGCCAGTATTGTTCACACTTGGTCTAGAAAAATGAACAAAAAGCAACAAAATACACGTACAAAATGTATATTAATCATAGATCTTGATCTGTTCTTTGTGAAGTAACATGTTTCCTCCTGACAACAACTTCCTTGAAAGACTATCAATAAACCATTTTAAGATTTTCCTGAAGACTTACCCGCCCTCCTTCAATGCAGTTGGTTACCATAACGATCCTCTTAACTCTTTGTTCCCAAATCATTCTCCAGAAATCATTAACAGTAGAGGGCAGAGGGCCCTGAGTGGCAATGTACTCTCTGTTACTGCTGTAGCCCTGAAAAGCAGTGGACAAAGTTAATATGTAGACTAATTTAGCTTGTATATCTTCTGCTCGTTATAGAAATGAAAAAAGAAAGCTCATGAAATCGCACAAAGGTGCTTGTTTATATGCTTTCTGTATGGTGTAGTTATAAAGAGATCTTCACTGAACTTTATCTTAATGTAACACTTACCGGCATGTAATTGGCATTGATATAGTCTGAAATTCCATCAGGATCTGATGTAGTTAGCTTCACACGACACCAGTCATCTAATATGAGAAAACAGGTGATTTAACTCCAGTGCACCTCCAGTAGTCGTGACATAGACTGCTAGACTGAGCTCACAACAGCACGGTTCAACAGTCAGAGGAGAGACTCACATGGCAAGATGTTATTGAAACGATTCTTCGCTTTGTTTTCAGGTAGAATAGCAGTCTTTCGTGTCTGGTCTGTTCCAACAGGAGCGAGGCACTGCATGAATGTAGCAGATAACAAAGCATGAAACTGAGATACTGGCCATCGTAAAACGAATAAAATGATAAGAAATAAAACAGTAAAGACACAAAAACAGGAACACACAGAAGCAGAAGAGGAAAAAAAATCTTGATCTTTTTATGCACCTCATATTCCTCACTGAAGCCTCTGTTCTCGTCCAAACTCAGCTGATGGAAGTGGTCTGGAAACTTTGCAGAGGGAATAGATCTAAAAATAAATAAATAAATACATAAATAAATAAAACATAACAAAAGTAGAATTAATCTTACCTTTGTTTTGACCTAATGAAATAATACAGATTATACAATAGTACTTGCCATTAATGATCGTCTCTCAAACGTATTCATTAATTTTGCCTTAATTAATGTTTTTTCTTCATTGTGGGTAATTGTCATTGTAAAAAAACACTTACTTGCTCTGTGTGTTTGGTACTTTGGATCCACCAATGAATGAAGACTTCTTTCTGCTGCAGGATCAAAACATTAAATATGATAAATGTCTTGATTTAATTTACTTTATTCTTGTCAGTGAAGTGAGGCCCACCTAATAATATCTGGTCTTTTGAGGAAAATTAAGACAACCAGAGCGACCAGGAGACCAAAAAGAAGCACACCAAATACGGACCCTGCAATAACTCCTAAAGAGAGCAAAAGCATAGTTAAAATGCAACAAAGTTAAAAAGTTTAGAGCTTTATTTTACACTTGAGTGAAATGAAACGATTTGTAATCAAGTCAAAGTTGAA